AAGTGCACAAACAGACAAGCGAGCGGTAATTACATTTGGTCACCGAGAAAGGCTGTCTGTTTGACTGTTTAAACAACTTCGGCTCGGCAAATACTCGCCCCGTTTCGCGCTGAATCGCCCGATCAAGTGCCTTAATGACTTTTTCACTGACGGCGCGCGAGCTGAAAAGAAACCCGCTAAATAACGGCCGCCATTCAGCGTCTAGCGTTTCCTGGTGCGGCAAGGGCAGAAGCAGCGGCGGCAGTAGCAGCGGCAGCGGCAGCAGCAGCAACAGCGGCAGTAGCAGCAGCGGGAATAACGGCAACACAGCAGCAGCAACAACACCAGCTGGGGCAGCAGCAACAGCAGCATCAGCTATCTATTTATCTATCTATCTATCTATCTGTCTGTCTATCTATCTATCTATCTAGCTATCTATCTATCTATCTATCTATCTATCTATCTATCTATCTATCTATCTATCTATCTATCTATCTATCTATCCATCCATCCATCTATCTATCTATCTATCTATCTATCTATCTATCTATCTATCTATCTATCTATCTATCTATCCATCCATCCATCCATCTATCTATCTATCTATCTATCTCGCTACAAAATATTATGACGAGAGAATTCATCAGACTTATATACGAATAATTAAATAGAAAAGGTAGGTGAAATTATAGTCAAGATCATAATAAGAAAAAGAAAGCTAGTTACAGTAGCACAAAAGTGAGTCAGACGTAAGAGAACATGGGGTAGGCGCTGAACAAAACAGTAAATGTCAAAGCTAATATGTATAGGAAAAGCGTCATAGGTATATAATAAATAGAATAATTAGGATGTCAAATATATTGAAGCAACAAGTGAATAGATCTAGAAAAACAAGTATGAACCACGCGGTGAGCCAGGCGCCCCTTTCGCCGCGTCTGACACTGTGCGGCGTCGCCCGTGTCGCAAGAGCGGCGCTGCTACGCTGCTCCCTGAGCCCTAATGCTTCGCTCATCTCGCCGTTGCCTCTGACAAGACGCAGGCCGCGCGGCGTGGCTGGTAATTTCCTGTCCGCCTCCCAACCCACTTGCCGGGCCGACTAAACGTTGAACCGCACCGACGGTCTCACCGCAAACGCGAACAGCCTCTGCGGCGGTGCAATACCACCCCATGCCACCCGCCCGCCGACCCCTCTACATAATCCCGACAATCCGCGCGCCCGCCTGCCGCCCACCAACCGCGCCGCCGCCATCCGACCCGCATACGCAATCCTCCCGCACGCACCCCCCCCCCCCACCCACCCCCCACACACACCTTTCCCACACACACAGGCCCCACCCCCAAATGTTGCCCACGCACGCACGCGCCGCCACCCGCCAACCACACCCAACCCACTCCCCCCACGGGAGTTTTGACAGAGAGCAGGGGGAGGGGGAGGGAAGCGGGCCGGAAAACTATCGTTCTGTGCACTCAGGCCGTCAACTCGCACCAGCTGTCTGTGTCGCGGCGGACACGTCAAGCTTATATAATATAATCTGTAGGGGCGACGTCGATCAGAGCCTCGGGCTCACCTATATGTTGTGTTTGCACAACAATGCTGCTATTGTGTTTATATATATGTATATATATATGATATATATTATATATTATGTATATTAGAAGAGAGAGAGAGAGAAGAAGAGAGAGAGATGAGAGTATAGAGAGAGAGAGAGACGAGAGAGAGAGAAAGAGAATGTGGCTAAGGCTAGGATGGAGGGACAGCAGAGCAAAGCGAGCGAGGAGCGAGAAGGAGAAGAAAGGGCGAGATAGTAGAGATAAAGTGAAGTGAGACCGAAGAAAGAAACAAGAGAGAAGAGAGAGAGAGACGGAGGAGAGAGAGAGAGAGCGCAGGAGAGAAGAACTATAGACGAGTACGGAGCGGGAAAACGGCGAGAGAAAGCTATGCAGGAAGAGAATCGAGGGATCTGCTTACGCTCGCACTGCGTATAACCAGCGGATAACATGCACTCCGTATATTGTCCGCACGCACTTATTTTTTGTTTTATTCGATAAGTAGTATTCATTCGTCCAATGCAACCCGCCTGCCCGCTGGACGTGACATGCATGAATGACGCGGTTTTTTTACCGTTGTTACGTTCAAATATACTCGCGATAGTTGTGCGGCATATTAACGCGCCTCAAATTCATGTTCTAGGTTGCAACGTGTTAATTATTCACTGTAGGTCCCAGGGGACGACGAATGATGTTCAGTGGTGGCGGAATATCAAGGTAGGACCGGAAGTCCTGAAAGGTTCTAATTGTATCGTTTGGGTTCTATATAAAATAGCTGCAAATGTTGTAAATATTTGGCATTATAATGCATAGAATATATAAAGTAAGTGGTCATCTTTGAGGTTTTGTAGTTTCATATTCCACAGGCAATTCGCTAACAATTAAGAGGCATAGTATATAATGAAACATTAGATAACGTGTGACGCCAGAAGCAATATTATATAATATGATCATATTTATTATCTAGTAGAAT